TATATATATATATATATATATATAGATAGATATGATAGTAATATCACATCTTTATAGGGAAAGGACAATCAAGTGCGTCTTTTAATACAAACATATTAAAAACACATACGTCCATAAAGAGAACTCAATCTATTTTCTACAGAAAAACATGATATGCATCAAATGAAAACCTTTTCTTTCTATCTTTCTTTCTTTTTTTCTTTATTTATATATATATATATATATATATATATATATATATATATATATATATATATATATGATGGCTATAATTACGATTGTCTAGCATGACTATATCTAACATATTATTAATATAATTATTGGATTAAAATAAAAAAATTTACTTAGTAGAAATTGAAATAATGTCAAGATTTAAATATTAAACAATTAATAAAATAAATATGAAATATTTTAATTTAACTATAAATAATGTCGCATAAAATAACTATTAACTGATTGTATTAGGTGAGTGTAACCCATTTTCCAAAATCTATATTGGGATATATCGCCGATAAAATATTTAATTTGGGTAGTTTTCTGATAGGGAAATTTTGTCAGTATATCAAATATTTCATACTATATATATATATATATATATATATATATATATATATATATATATATATAAAATAAAAGTTTAACATTGAAGCCAACTCTCAGAGGTGACAGACTGTTGTATGCTAAAAAATCATCAGGCCACACAGACACACACACACACACATATATATATATATATATATATATATATATATACATTTAAACATTTGTATACACACAAAGTTTTCACACACACATATATATATTTTTTTTTTTCCTTTTAGCTCTTAGTAAATTGTCGTCCCGAGTAAACCGATAAACTACATCCAACAGCAAAACCTCTGTTCAGAAGGATTTGAGGAGCTTGAAACCACCTCTTAACTGCTGGTGTTTCCAGGTCCACTCTATTTCAGGGTGGTAGCACCAGTTAGGGTCCCAGCTATGGGCAAATATTTAGCCCCTAAACTGTGGTGAAAACTCTATGAAAGAGTAAAATAGGTGCCAGTAATATATTTTTGTATATTTATTACCAGCAATGAATTTTTGAGGAAAAAAATATTACCAGCAATACATTCTGTAAAAAAATATTACCAGAAATACGTTTTTGAAGAAAAAGATATTACCAGCAATACATTCTTGAAAAAAAAATTATCTCTATCTATAAAAGGCAGGATGTGTGCGTGTGTGTGTGTGTGTGTGTGTGTGTGTGTGTGTGTGTGTGTGTGTGTGTGTGTGTGGCGAATTTTCATGGCGGAATTTTTGAAATTTTACATGCAAGGTGAGCGGGAAGGCCTGAATCGACTTTCCATTTCCCATCGATAGTGGAAATAATCGATTTTTTCATGCTTCTACCACAGTTTTAATGTAGTTTGCGGCCATTTTGTACTGGTCAGAGTGAGAGCCAATGGCTGGTTGCCACGAATAGGCAGGAAGATTCTATTTGCCAGTGTAAGAGCCAACAGGTGACTGACACGAATATTAACTAGCATGCTAGAACGCAAAAGAAATCGATAGCTGCATTCGTCACAAGTGGGAAAAATTTAAATCTGCATGGCACTTTACTCCAATTGGCTCATTCGCTTGCTTAAACTCAACGTTGATTCTGATTCCGCAGAACTGGGTTGGTGTGAAAAAGTATTTGTTGTTAAACATCTTTTTTCATTCGGTTTTTCCAGTTACGAGTCCTTTTTTAAAGCTGATCGTTTTGTGTTCATTTTGTTTAGTTCTTTTTTCGTAACAGATTTAATGTTTAGTATAGAACCTAGAAAAAATTCGCAGTGTGAGATAGGCAAGAAGTAAGGCATGTAGCAACATCAGCACGACAAAGGGCACACCTTTAAAGGCAAGGAAGGGCAAACATATTTTAAGTAAAGTGATAGCGATTGCTGTATGAGTCGTACGATTTTTGAATCAAGCACGGGCAATGCCGGGCCATGCTGCTAGTTGGCAATAAAAATCTTATTAGAATTGAATAACTCATTGTGATTGATATACCATAAAACAAGCCAAATCAAACCAATCTTAGTAAATTATATCATTTTGCTATCTCCCCTCAAACCTTTTGTGCCATTTATTTACACTAGTTTATTAGTTAGGTACTGTGACAGTTTTCTCTTGTCTACATTGTGTCTTGTGGGTGTGATATTTTCCAAGCCGCCTTTTCGCATTACAACTCTTTCTAATATTAATTACGAGTCTACTTTTTGTGTCCATTTTCTCTAAAACGTCATTGCCCACATTTTCATCCCATGGTATTCTCAGCATCCTTCTGTAGATCAATATTTCAGATACCCCTAGTCTTTTCTTGATGTGTGGTGTTAGTGTCCAGTATTCGCTCTCATCGTCTCTTCTTAGTTTCACAATTTAAAAAAGTAAAAATATTATTTGAACATAAAGTAAAATTCGTTTTAAATTGGAAAAAAATACAAGCGATAAAAAAATTAAAAAATCGAAAAAAAAATGACTCGTGGTTATCTAATCTTTTCAGGAATATTTTTATTTCATTCGTCGAGATGAATCAACAGGAATATGAAGTCGTCCGTCTCGTCTAAAGATAATTATCTTTCTTGTCTGATAGATACATTATTAAGGCTTGTCGGTCAATACAAAAGTGCATCGCCTCAGGTCAGAGTAATATAACACTACTCATTAACACTGGCAGCGGTAACATACGATTCGGTTATTTTTAACGATATCAATTTTTCTGCCGACTGAAGTTTCTCGAAATTTTCGTAAGAAACGGAAAAATGAATGTTTCCAAAAATAATTCTGCAATTTGAAGCTTTTAATGATTGATATATGCTTTTCTTTTGATTACACTTATAAGATTACAGGAGTTCGATACGTCGTTGTCGTTCAGTTTCATTAAAGAAAATGGGAATTTTTAGCGATTAGGGCGTGTGCGTAGGAAGACGACTATAGAACCGAGAAGTGAAATTGGGGAATGGAGTTCACATTTCAGCAGGGGCTGTTGTTTCATCACAAACTGTGAAAAGTATGAATCAAAATCTACCTACAACGGAGCTTTCATAGCTGACCATTCCGGAAAAAACGTTCACGAAAAGAACAGTTATCAAATAAGCGACTGACTGTGTTTGCAGATAGAAACACCAGCTCGTGAACCCCTATATGGTATCCGTCTCGAGGAACCACGGATCTACGACCGTAGATTTATGACCTGTCCAGGGGTAAGGTCTGGGCAGTGTTTTTATGAATGATTGGCAGTTGTCTATACAGCAATTTTCCCTTCTCTATGCCAGTAAAATTATCCAAAATAAAGGCAGAGTCCAATACGGCTTGACCCTGGCATCGTCGCATGAGTTGCTAGAATAAAATTTAACATGACAGAAGACTGTCTTATAGATTACGGCTCGTAATTTTAATTCTGAGATTTTCTATTCCTAAGTTGGTTGACAAGTATAGCTATAGAGCCTAGACCTTCCTACGATTAACTCTTCTGATGTTAAGCATAAGCCTCCTTGTCTGCATTCTCTCCAAGACCTCATCGTTGCTTACACAATCGGTCCACAAAATCCTCAGTATCTTTCCGTAGAACCACATCTCCGTCACCACGTGTCTCTTCTTCATCCTTGAGGAAATCGTCCAACATTCGCTACCGTAAAGAAGGACAGATGTCACGTAACAGCTCAATATTCTTTTCTTTGTTACCAAAAAGATCTTCCTGCCTAGACGTTATTTCAATCTGATTGTTCCGCCTTTAATATAATACATGTATTTTATATTTCATAATTTGTATTGTACCATTCATCCCCTCGGTTCCAGCTCTGTTGAGTGTGGTTTTGAATTCATAGTTCTTCCTTCTCCTAGACCGGTTGGCGTCCTTGGCTATAGAACCGGGTCTGTACTGCATTTACCCATAGTTGGAGAGAGAAGAGAACTTACTTGAGAAAGGGTATTAGCAAGTAAGTGAATGTAATTAATTTGACTGGGATTCGATTCCTCAATCTGAGTCGTAATTTTTACTCCACCGTGAAACCTTTGCCAAAAAACTGCAGTGACATCAACTACAGTTGTGAAGCGGTTAACCCATATTTAAAACCATAAAAACAAGACTTTTATAGTAAATAGAACTCCATATTTAGATCCACAGCTTCGGGGAACCGACGCTCAAAAAGGACCTTTCCTGCTTACTACAATCGTAAAATGTTCATGTCTACAATTTACCATTATATTCCACACATATCCGCATAATCTGTGCCTCTGATTCTGTAACCTTCTTCCTCTTGTGGGCCTCTGGCCTTGTACAGGGTGAACACCACTGTAAAAAGAAAGTTCGGCTGTACATTTAAGATTTACTGAAGAAATCGATGCTGAAAATGCACAACACGATGTCGAAGTTTTTCTAAAAGGTATGTTTGCTTTTTTGTTTCAGATTTTGGCAAGTGACTCTTGAGAATTCTAATATTTATGAGAAATGTCCCATTTAGGTGCACCGGTATTTCACCGCTGTTGTATATTTCCTTCATCAATTCAATAATTTTATCAATCCCCAAATTCGGTTCTTTCAAGAATGACATTAGATTCTGCTACAACATATTCCATTCGTTCATTTCTGTTGAATTTCTTTGCTATTTCTCTATTTTTCTAATCATCAAACAGTTATCTTCTCATTGTTGTCTAACTCTCCCCTGAGAGCTGATGCTTTCTCCACCTTTTCATTTCTTTTTTTTTTAACTTTCTTCTGTTATATATTTTTGCTTCATTTATTCAATCTTTCATTCATTCTTCTTATTTTCGAACTTCCGAAAATTTACATTTTTATATCCGTTTTTCTTCTCTTTCTTCGTCGTTTTCTTTTTCTTCTTCTTGTTTATATCCTTCATTTTATTGTCGATTCTTCTTCTTCTTCTTCTTCTTCTTCTTCTTCTTCTTCTTCTTCTCTGTCATCTTCTAGTTTCTATTCTTCTTTATATTTTAAATTCTTCATCTTTATTGATTTTATTATGGTTTCTTCTTCTTCATCTTTCTTCTTCTTCTTCTTCTTCTTCTTCTTCTTCTTCTTCTCTGTCATATTCAAGTTTCTATTTTTCATTGTATTTTAGATTCTTCATCTTTATTGATTTTATCATTGTTTCTTCTTTCTTCTTCTTCATCTTCTAGTTTCTATTTTTCATTATATTTTAGATTCATCTTTATTGATTTTATTATTGTTTCTTCTTCTTTCTTCTTCTTCTTCACCTTCGTTTACTTATTTGTTTCAAATCTGCAAGAAAATATTGTGCTTCTTATTATTATTTCTTCGTTTCCTTCTTTGTTTTCAAATCAGTAACAAAATATTTCTTCTTATTCTTCATTTTCTAGTTTCTATTTTCCATTATATTTTAGATTCTTCATCTTTACTGATTTTATTATTGTTTCTTCTTCTTCTTTTTTTTTCTTTCTTCTTCTTCTTTTTTCTTCTTCTTCTTCTTTTTTCCTCATCCTCTTCTTCTTTCTTCTTCTTCTTATTCTTCATCTTCTAGTTTTTATTTTTCATTATATTTTAAATTCTTCATCTTTAATGATTTTATTATTGTTTGTCGTCTTCAACTTCTTTTCTTTCTTTTTCTTCTTCTTCTTTTCTTCTTTAATTTCTATCTTTCTTTTTATTTTACTGTCTTCTTTTTAATTGATCATATTTTGGTTATTTTCAGAATCATATAGAGTGGAACCTCAGTCCACGAATTTAATTCGTTCCTGAAGGCCGTTCGTAACCGGAAATGCTCGTTAACCGAAACTATTTTTTCCAACAGGAATCAATGTAGAGAAAAAAAAAATCTCACAGTAAAATAAAATTGGAAAAGAAAACAGACGAATTTATACAACATGGCGGTCGACTCAGAAATTATTCCGTTCGGGTTATCCCGGTTCGGCAATGTTGTTCGAGAACCGAAATTTTGTTCGATAACCGAGGCATTTTTATCTCGAATTTTCTCTTCGAAAACCGATTTCTTTCGACATGTGTGTTGTTCGAGAACTGAGGTTCTTCTGTATATTTATTTTCTTCTTCATTATATCCCATCCTCCTTCAATCATTCAATAATTAAGACGCCCCAATTCAGTTTTTGATTATTTTCTTTCTTTTTTCCACATCAAATTATACTATCTCTCTTCCTCTTTAATTTTCTCTACTATATTTTCTCCTTCATATTCTTCCTTTTCTCTTTCTGCTGCATCATTCTTTTTTTTAAATTCATTCGTCCATTCATTTTCGTCCTGGGTAAGACGTTAAACTACATCCGCGGCCTGGGTAAGAAGTTAAACTATGTCCAGCAGCAAGGCCTCTGATCAGGAGGTTTTGAGGAGCGTGGAACCACCTCTTAATTGCTGGTGTTCCCAGGCCCATCTTGACCCGGGGCGGTAGCACCTGTTAGGGTCCCAGCTATAGGCAAATAGTTAACTATTATCAGCAATACTTTTTTTGAAAAAATTATTACCAGTAATACAATTTTGAAGGAAATATATTACCAGAAACAGATTTTACAAAACAAAATATTACCAGCAATAAAAAATATTGTCAGCATTAAAAGACCTATTGAGGTTGATATGCTGTTAAACAAAATAAACCAAACCAAATCGTCCATTCATTCATCCGTCTCTGTTTAATGTATTTGCGATCTCTCTTATTTCTCGAACCTTTTGTTCGTATACTGTCTTTCTATCCCTTCGTCTACCTTGTATTTCGTTTTCTTTCTCTTCCTTTCCTCTTCCTTTCTCTTTTTTCTTTCTTTTACTTTTCCTTTTTCTTCTTCGTATTTTCATCATCTCTTCTACACCTTCGTAGATATTTTCATACGTTCATTTATTTTCTGTTCATTCAGATTAACACGCACTCCTTATATTCACACAAATTAAAGACATCTTTTCACATATCACAATTCGCAATGTTTACCCTCTTGCTAATTCTTTCGCTTTAACTAATTTTTGTCTCCATCTCATAAACAATATCACCCACTTGATAACGCCACTCATAATATCTCCACTGCACAATATTGCATTAAGATATAAGGGCGAATCGTTCAATTGCATTACCTCGAATGATTTCCTCATTACTCAGCATTCATCTTTACGAGAGGCCTGAAACCATTACATCTGACATCCACTACTGGTCGCCTTCCTTATAATGGTCTTAATTTCCTTTTTAATTATGTTTTTTAAATTTTATCTTTTACGATCACAATTTTCGTAATCGCAGAATACGCATAAAACTGAGCGATTCTTAATATTTGCTAAGTCTACCACAGAAGAATGCCAAAAAATGTTATACAACAAAATTAGAAATTAAAATTAAGTCGAAGTCACTGGATAACTAAAAAGCAAACATTTACACTATTTACGTTGTTCAGACTGTTGTCCTCATCTTTATTGTCATATTCATAACGTTTCGGCCGTTGTACGCTCCGGTCCTCATCAGGACATGTCTATATTTCTGAGAAGAGGTATTTTAATTATTTACACTATTTAAATTGTTCAGACGGTTGTCGTCATCGTTATTATCATATTCACGACTTATCGGTCGTTGTACGCTCTGGTCTTTATCATGTCCTGTCTATATTTCTGAGATGAGGTAGTGTAATTATTTACACTACTTACATTGTTTGGACTGTTGTCCTCATCTTTATCGTCATATTCACAACGTTTCGTTCGTTGTACGCTCCGGTCCTCATCACGATCTGTCTATATTTCTGAGATGAGATACTTTAATTATTTACACTATTTACATTGTTCTGACTGTTATCCTCATCTTTATTGTCATATTCACGACCTATCGGCCGTTGTACGCTACAGCCTCCTCTAATTTTGAGCCGAACCCTTTATTCCGTCCATTGTGGTAGATTGTTCAACTTCCACATGCCATGACTTTTCTGAATAATTCATTTTCAGATATTTCCCTTTATTAAAACAACACTCCAAGTTTTTGTTCACCATTGCTGTTTCCAGGTATCGAACTTACAACTGGTTGGTTCAAGTCACTTTTAGATTACTGCATCCAACACAGGCGGTTAGAAATTTCAACATATGACAACTTAAGAAGACCGGAGTTTGCAACGGTCGAAACGTTGTGTATATGACAACAAAGATTAGGACCATATTCCACACAATGTAAATAGCGAAAATAGTTACAATACCTCATCTCAGAAATATCGACAGATCCTGAAGAAGGCCAGAGCGTACAACAGTCGAAACGCCGTGAATTTGGCAATAAAGATAAGATGACAGTCCAGTCAATGTAAATATTTAAAATACGACATCGTAGAAATAGAGACAGATCCTTAAGAAGGCCGGAGAGTACAACGGTCGAATCGTCGTGAATTTGACAAGAAAGAGATCAATGGTCCGAACAATTTAAATAGTGTAAATAGGTATAATACCTCATTTCAGAAATATAGACAGATGTTAAAGATTAAACATTGAGTCTGGTATAAATTTGTGGTGAGCGTAACCACTTTTATTTTAAGTCAGTGTGTCTTCTGAAATAATGATTTTTCAGAATTGGTGGGTATTTGTTTTCTGATTAAAACATTCATGATGAAAGCATATAAGGAATCTTCCTGACAAATTCATCCAGTAAAACAAGCAATATGCTACCAAACATTCCTCATGTTATAATGTCTTCAAATTATTTCAAAGAATTTGTCTTTTAATTTTGACTTTTGCCCCGCTGTTTATTTCCGGTCATTTCTCGATATGTATGTTAATTCTTTTATGGTAAGATATCATGAAAGGCACGGGTAATCAAAATCTGCGATGTGAGTTCAAATTCTGGTCGGTTCTGTGATTGGCATCGCCATTCGAACAGTCTACCCAATCTTTTCTCTTACTTAAAGATTGCATGACACAAATGATATACGTCTGTAGATTTTAATGATATCAAGATATGGTGGTGCTACCTACCATTACCTTTACATACTAGTAAGTATACTACAGCAAAAAAAAACAAAGAGTGCCACCTGCCTAAAAATAAAACTTATAACAGCTAAAGAGTAACCATACAGAGAGGTATAAATATATGGTTGGTGTAAGGTTTAACAGCTGCTGAAAATGGAATTGGTGAACCAATTTAAAACTCCAGTTTAGTCAGTTGCACTCAATTTCACACTAATTATATTGGGAATAGGATGAATCGAATTCATCTACCTCCAGCTATGTTTTAAAAAACCAAAGGCGACTGGGCGCCCCATCGTAAATGGGATGACATATATAAAAGGGATTAGTATTAATATCATAGATAACAACGATCACAAAAATCTTATCTGGGTTTTTCATGATGTTAATATATGGCGGTGCCAACTACTATTATCTTTACATACTGCTCCTCCATGACTTGGGATGATTGCGTCCTGGTCGATATATAGCCATTTCTATATTCAGCTTTTATCTATCCAGACTTTTTTTGAATTCTATATTTTTAGCTCCTGCCACTTCATTTCAATGTCGACTTCCAGGTGCTCCTCAGAAGTTCCGGATTACAGTAAGTTCCAAGATTGACAATGTTTCCAAGTTTATATCTTGTGCATTTAATCTTCCTCCATCCATGGGTTAAATGACATGACAGTCTGAATTTAAAAAGACAGCATGAAGAAGGAACGATACCCTAGATAAACCCACTGATGTGATATATATATCTTGCATTTACGAACCCTGAGGATTACAGAGGTTGTGACGATTGTGAAAGCATAAAGGTAGTTAAGTTCTGATTTTATTATAAAAAATGGGTTTTATTGTAAATCGGCGTGTATACTGAAATAAGTCTTTTTTTTATTATTTAGTATTGATGTATAATTGATTCCCGATAAGAAAATACATGATGCAAAACAAAAAATACTTCTTGGTATATTATTCAAAAAATATAAAAATTGCTATATTATTAGAAAAATAAAAACATGACTAAGATACTAAGTCAACCAATATAGAGATGGGACATGGAGGACGTGTACGGGTTATTTGTGCGGAAGTGTAAACGCCGATCAAAGTTCAAATTCATGCACAATCTGTTATGTTAAATTACGTACTGATTCTCTTGGGAAAGGCATACATTCATTAACTCTGTGTTAAATACGTTGGAAAACTTGACTAACTATACTTAATTGTTAATCATTTTAAGAGAAAGAAAATTTTGAATTCAAATCCGTAGAATTGACAATGGCATATCACTAGACTTTCTTTCTTATGAAGCCATTCTGATTTGCAGAAATTTAAAAAAAAATGATGTGGAGAACAATTACAACCTATGCCATCTTGGGAGATACTATGACAGGAAATAAAGCCGTAAATAAATATGTTTGACACAAGGCCAAAATATAGTGGGGGCTGCTTGAAAAGACATAATATCACGGGTCGTTTACTCAATCTGGTGCAGAGGGATTTTCCAGAGTCCGTTCTAAATATAGAGCATCTTTCCTAGATTACATTTTTGATGATGCCATGTTCCTCTAGCTATGGGTTAAATAGCAAATAGACTCAGTCTGAAGAGGAAAGTATTCCGCCGGTTTATCTTGCCCCAGATAGTCCCACTGATATTGCAGTTGCTGTATATATGTTGGCTCTGGGGTACTTATAGATTACGGGATTTGACATTTCTAGGCTGCCACCTCTTTTTCACAAAAGAACGTTGCAATACTGTTACTC